GAGAAAGTTCCAGCTGGTCGGAGTAAGGCTGAACTTCGTGCTGAGCGCCGGGCCAAGCAGGAGGCTGAGCGGGCCCTGAAACAGGCAAGAAAAGGAGAGCAAGGAGGGCCACCTCCTCAGGCCTGCCCCAGTGCTGCTGGAGAAACCCCTTCAGGAGTGAAGCGAGTCTCTGAGCACACTCAGGCTGATGACCCCACACTTTTGAGGAATCTTACTAAAAAAACAGAATGACAACAGGTTCCTACGCGAAAGGATTATGGATCAAAAGTCAGTCTTTTCTCCCACCTACCCCAGTACAGCAGACAAAATTCCTTGACCCAGTACATGAGCATCCCATCCTCTGTGATCCACCCAGCCATGGTGCGACTCGGCCTGCAGTACTCCCAGGGCCTGGTCAGTGGCTCCAATGCCCGGTATATTGCTCTGCTTGGTGCCTTGCAGCAGGTAATTCAGGATTACACAACCCCTCCCAATGAGGAACTCTCAAGGGATCTTGTGACTAAGTTAAAACCCTATATCAGCTTCCTGACTCAGTGTCGCCCTCTGTCAGCAAGCATGTACAATGCCATCAAGTTCTTTAACAAGGAAATCACTGCTGTGAGCAGCTCCAAGCGGGAAGAGGAGGCCAAGACAGAACTGAGAGCAGCCATTGATCGGTACATACAAGAGAAGATTGTTCTTGCAGCTCAGGCTATCTCACGCTTTGCCTATAAGAAGATCAGTTATGGAGATGTGATCCTGGTATATGGATGCTCATCTCTGGTATCACGAATTCTTCAGGAAGCTTGGAATGAGGGCCGGAGGTTTCGGGTGGTAGTGGTGGACTGCCGGCCCTGGCTGGAAGGAAGGCATATGCTACGTTCTCTGGTCCGTGCTGGCGTCCCTGCTTCTTACCTATTGATTCCTGCAGCCTCTTATGTCCTCCCAGAGGTTTCCAAGGTGCTATTGGGAGCTCATGCACTTCTGGCCAATGGATCTGTGATGTCACGGGTAGGGACAGCACAGCTGGCCTTAGTGGCGCGAGCCCATAACGTGCCAGTGCTGGTCTGCTGTGAAACATACAAGTTCTGTGAGCGCGTACAGACTGATGCCTTTGTCTCTAATGAGCTAGGTAAGCAAGGCAGAAGAGAACCTCTGGAGAGCTGAGATTTATGAGGGAGAGGGGAGGTTAAAACCCTAACTTCTTTTCGGACATAATGGGTCCCCCTCCCACTGCAGATGACCCTGATGATCTGCGGTGTGAGCGGAAAGATCATGTGGCCCTGGCTAACTGGCAGAACCACTCATCACTACGGCTGTTGAATCTGGTTTACGATGTGACTCCTCCAGAGCTCGTGGACCTGGTCATCACAGAGCTGGGCATGATTCCTTGTAGTTCTGTACCTGTTGTCCTACGAGTCAAGAGCGGTGACCAGTGAGGGTGAAACACGATCAATAAATGACATACATCCTCCCAAAAAAAAAAAAAATTCAAATTCAAATTCATCAATGTAGCTCCATGCAAAATAAAAATGCAAAAATTAATAGTATTGCTATACACAGACAAGAACTCACCAAAAAAGCAATTAGGAAAATAATATCTTTCATAATAACATCAAAATGATAAATAATTAGAAATTAACCTAAGCAAGCAAGTTAAACAATTCTACAACAAAAATTACATCACTTTGAGAAAGAAAATCAAAAACTTGAGAATATGAAATTATATCCTCTGTTCTTATATAAGCAAGATGAATATTTTTTAAAATGTATCTACTTTATAGACTAATATACAATTTAATGAAATTCTAATAAAAATACTAACAGTATTTCTTACCGATACAGAGAAAACAATCCTAAAATTCATATAGAACCAAAGAGATCCATAAATGCAATCCTGGGTAACAAATACAAAGTGGCATCAAAGTCCCAAACTAGAAGTTATAATATAAAGCCATGATAATTAAAGCAGCATGGTAGTGGCACAAATACAAGGATGTAAATAAATGGAAGAGTCTAGGGGAAGCCAAATAAATAAATAATTTGATCTTTGAAAAAGTAAGTGACCAAAAATATACCAGGAAGGAAAATTAGTCTCTTTAATAAATGCTACAGGACAATTGGACACTCATATGTAAAATATTGAATGTAGTCTGATGTACCTCACCATGTACTAGGCTAAAATTAAAATAGATTGAGTTCTAAATGTTAAAACATAAATACTTAATTTGATGGAATATAAAATAGATACAACTGTTAAAGACATAGGCATAGGCAAAGACTATTTGAACAGAACTCCAATGGTACAATAAATACTACTGGACTTAACAAACAGGATCATACCATATTAAAAAGATTCAGCAAAGTAAAGGAAAAAACTAATAGAATAAAGAGATAATGTACAGCATGGGAAATATTTTTGTCAGCTATTCCTCAGACAGAGATTTATATATAATGTACTTAAAAAACTAAAAGTAGATTCTCTAGTCTAAAAGATCCTATTAAATAAATGGGCAATCAAACTGAAAAGACATTTCTCAGAAGTACAAATGGCCTATAAATACATGTAAAATTGTGCAACATATCTACCTGGCATTAGAGAATTGCAAACTAGAAGTACCTTGAGATACTATCTCAGCCTAGAAAAAATGACTATCACCAAACATATAATAAAAATTGTTGGTAAAGATGTGGGAAACAACAAACTCTTTTACATTGTTGATGGGTATGTAAAGTAGTATTATCAATAAGGAAATTAGTGTGGCAATTTCTCATAAAAATAAAAATATATATTTCATTTGACCTAGTCTTCCAAAAGACTTAAAGTCACTGTATTTCAGGGACACATACATAAGCTCTTTATAAATTGTGCTGTATATGCAACAGAATCTATAAGAGTTAGATCGTGGAAATACTGTACATGTCCACTGACAGAGGAATGGATAATGAAAATATATTTCCCTAAAATGGTATGCAAAAAATTTTGACATACAGAAAGATGAAACTTGAGGCACACATAGACAAATGAATGCATCGTGAGAACATAATGCTAATTTAAAAAATTCAGACATACAAGTTTCCATATTCCGTTATTTCTCTTACACAGATATTCCTCATTCAATAGCCTACCTGGTTATAACTGTTTGGACTTAAGACAAAGGTGGGCTGTTCAGATTTAAGACGAACTGCTTGGACTTATGACCCATCTTTCTTTTTACAGTTCTATAAATCTTGTTTATAGATCCTCAATGTCATTTCTTTGGTACAATATGCCTTGTTTACACAGGACTGTAACTTTTGCTGATGGTGTAAAATAAAGTACTGGTGGGTTTTTTTTATATTTTAGGGAAGAGTTTACAGGGTGATCAGGGTCTCACTACTAGATCAGATTCATAGTGATCCACCTGTTTACAGCCTCCCAAGAGCTGACATCACAGGCATGCGCCACCACACCCAGTCTCAATTACTGTCTCAGCACACCCTGGGGCGGGGCCGGCACAGCAGGCCAGGGATAGAACCCCTAGCCCCTGTGCATGATTGCAGGTGCTTTAATCTGCTGAGCTATTTGACTAACCCTCAAAGTACTGTACTTTTATATTCTGTTACAATTATAGTACTGCACATGATAGGCAAACATGACTGATTCCTGGTACCAAGAAAATAAAGGAAAGTTTTGTGATATTAACTGTTTCCTTTTTGAAAAAGAGTATTTTTGTCTTTATTTTTTTTATTCTGAATAAGTACTTTTAAATTATGATAAGCAGTATATAAACTATTGTTTTTCTTTAATGTTTTGTTATAAAAATTGATCTTCATAAAATGGAAAACAAGTATAATAACAGTCTTACATGCACACAATCTGCAAGGTAAATATAATCATTATGTACTGCACACATATAAAATACATTTTTTAAAGACAATGTGAAGGGCTGGGGAGATGGCTCAGTGGAATAAGCGCTTCCCTGGCAAGCGCAAGGGCCTAAATTCAATCCCCAGTTCCAGAGAGAGAGAGAGAGAGAGAGAGAGAGAGAGAGAGAGAGAGAGAGAGAGAGAGAGAGAATGTGCCTTCTCTTTCAGGTAAAGTTTGAATCTCTCTTTTGTTTCCTTTTGCTTTTCACTATAATTTTCCTGTATTTTTCCCTGACAGGAATGATTTTCTGTTTCTTGAATCTGAAGTTACATATATTTCATGATTATAGAATTTTTTTCATATCTTTGAATATTGCCTTCACATCTCCCTTCTATTCTTTAATTTAGAATCATGTAGGAAGTCAGTCACAATGTCATGACTCTATAAACCCAGTACAATTAAAATCAGTGGAGGTGAGAGTGTTACTAGTTTCACCCATTTACTTTCAAACAGCATCTAGATCATTTTTACTTTTAATCATTCCTAGAGATTCTGAGGGAGGCACTTTGGCCAAGCTGCATATCCTTTAAACTCTGAAATTCTGATTTCTCAGTGGCTGTTGGTGCCCTTGTATCCTGTGATCCATGCGTAGAGCTTTTGCTTTTCTGTCACTGTGGCATCACTTTCTTGTCTGTGCCCTATTTATTGTTGACATGGATTTGTTCTGAATATAATTTCCCACCATCTTCAATAAAAGTGGCTGCTTGCCACTTGCTATCAGGTGTACACTTTGCAATATTTCACTCATTGTACACAAAAGAGTGGGTTATGTCTACATATCATCCAGTACCATTTTTGGCAAAAGCCAGTCAGCAAAGATTAATGGGTACTGAGAATCATTAATGGATACTTGGAGATGTTGGTGAACATTGGCAGCTAAGCAGCCAACAGCCAACAGCCTAAAGAAGCCAATCACGAGAGGAGGATAACTCCACACTTGTTTAGGCAGACACATTCTTCTCTCCTTTATTGGGCATATGGGACAGATTCCTAAATCATCTGGTGACTGTATCACCATTACATCATTTGGAGATGTAATATTATAAAATAAAAGGATTTTTTTCTGAGGGGGTTGAAGGACCCCTCTGGATTAGTTCAGGGTGTATTGTTGATGGTCCTCACACATGCAGATCTTTCAGTGGCTGTGATGCCTCATACATCTGAGAGGACAAACCTTAACTGAGTGTATGATTTCAACAAGGGAATATACCAACCCATACTGAGATTGTGATGACTTTTTCAAAGTTTCTTGTGGCCTGGCCCACCCATGGTTGTTAGATTTCTCTGTAGAGTACAGTCAGCAATATGCCCTACACTATGTAGACCCGTGCTGCCACTTATGTTCTAGCAAGCTACTTGTGGGTCATGCAGAGTGAGTGCTTCTCTTGGGTTACTTTCCTTCATTCCATTATCTCTGTGGGTAATTCTGGGTCCTCCTTGACCTTGCCCCACCCTCAAGCTTTTATCTATAAGAAGATTCAAATTATTGGCCTTTTCTTAGTGCTAAGCAACACAAAGAAAAAGTTAAGAAGTAGAGTGATTCCTTGCATGAAACAGAAAGAAAATAATTTATGCTCATTTTAAAAGAGGTAGTTATATCAAACAGGCACTGGTTTTGACCTTTGTGCAGGAGGGACTGGTTCTCCCTGAGATCTTAATGTCAGCCTATAGATCTCTCCTCCTGGATCACTTTTTTGAGGGGTATGCGTGTGTGTGTGTGTGTGTGTGTGTGTGTGTGTGTGTGTGTGTGTGTACAGGGTCTCACTGCACAGCTCGAACTCGTAGTGAGCCTCCTGTTGTCTGCCTCCCTAGTACTGGGATTACAGGTATGTGCCACCATGCCCAGACTCCATCGCCGGCTCAGTGCACCCAAGGGTGGGGGCAGGGCTGGTGCAGCATGCAGTACCGATGATAGAACCCTGGCCCCTGCGCTTACCTAAGCAAGTATTTAGTCTGTTGAGTTATCTTTGTGGCCCTCTGGATCACCTTTATAATTGTAGTTCTTTGTCACCTTTTTAGTTGGTTTTTGCAGTCATTGTGACAATTGTAGCTTCAAGTTTGTGACCCCACTTAAACTGAAGTGTAACCTCCATTTACTGACGGAATTTACATCATGTCTCCCATTTAACTTGAGGTTTGTCATCAGATGTGGTAAGTACTGTGACTTCATCTAGTGAGATTAGGTTTTTTGTAGGGACATATTTTATTCCTTGTTCTTAGATAGCCTGATGGTGGAATATCATGTATGGAAGTTTTTATTTCTCAGCAAGAGGGACCGAAAGCTACATACATGGGGAATTGCCTTAGTTTTGTAATTTTGATTTTGACTTGCAAACTGGCTAATGATGATGCCTTCACAGTTTCACCTTCTAGTAGTGAGCCAATTGTAGGTTTACTTGTGTTACAAGAAGGTCAAGAATGGTATTATAACAGCAGGCAAAGAAAGCAAGTGAAAGTATTCTGTTAACTTGTACTGTAATGTCATGTACCTCGGTAGTGTCCCAAATTTTCGGATCAAGAAGATTATGGGGCCAAAGAGGAAAGTGATCAATGATATATAGTGTGC